GGCCAAGCACAGAAAGGGATGAAAGGGGGGTGGATTCGGCAAGATGTCGGAACATAGGACGCGAGTGTCGGGCTGGGGTAGAGGAAGCTATACCAGTAAAAACTATAGCATGAGAAATTCGAGGTACAGAAGCAGAGGAAGTGGTAAAAAGTGGAACTGTAGCAGAGACAAGTGTTGTAGTAGGAACCGCAGCAGAGGCAACTTCCGTAGCAGGGACCGCAGCGGAGGCAACTTCAGTGGCAGAAACTGCTGGAGTGAAACCTGGAGTTGAAACAGCAGCAGTAGAAACTGCAGCAGTGGAGACCACAGCGGCAGCAGCAGTAGAAACTGCAGCAGTGGAGACCACAGCGGTGGTGGGAACTGCAACAGTGGGAACTGCATTAGCAGCAGATGAACAGGCAGTGACAGGACGAGCAGCGGAGGCAACTTCCGTAGCAGAAACTGCTGGAGTGAAACCCGGAGTTGAAACAGCAGCAGTAGAAACTGCAGCAGTGGAGACCACAGCGGTGGAAGCGGCGGCGGTGGGAACCGCAACAGTGGGAACTGCATTAGCAGCAGATGAACAAGCAGTGACAGGACGAGCGCGATGTGGGGATAAAGAAGAAAGTGGGTGATGCAAGGACCATCGCAGCATGCGTCGCAACCACTGAGAGAGACGGGTGACATGTGTAGGATAGCAACGTTGGTGGGAGCGTGTGTAAGCAGGTCCATCCTTTAGCGAGGGTTGGTGGGGAATGGCCACGAGAAAGCATGCGACGAGTGAGTGTTGTCGCTGCAGTTCGGAAGTCCTGCCAATTATTSCAGATGCGTTCAAATCTGGTCAATTGCCCAGTGAACACACCTGCTGGTTGATGGGAAGGGATGTTGGAGGTAGCACTTGGATAGCAAATAACAGRGAAATCCCAAGCAGCCGCTTTATCAAACACGCTCATGCGAAGCGAACCATCAGAACGTACTCGTAGATGCATACCTAAAAAGGTACACGAGCCATCTGTAGCCGTAGTTTCCTTCCACTCAAGCCCATAGTGCTCTGAAGGAGGAGGTAATTGCCCCCATGAAAGAACATCAATGAGGCGGTAAGTGAAGGCGTATCGCTGAGCAGCTCGGGGATCATGTTGATGAATGTCATCAATAAAGCGTGCTTCATCCCAATAGAGCGTTAGATTGGAGATTTCTGGGCCAGCATTTGTTCCCATTGGAATACCAATGATTTGCTTTCGAAGAGTGCCATCTCTAGTGTACAGAAAAGTGTTTTCTACAACAAAGCGAAGATGTTGGAGAATCTGAGAAACGGAAAGGCTGTCTGGTCCTGAATCGGTTGTCCATTGGCCAGAGCAAGGCCCGCGAATGAACATGTTCAAGGCTCTGCAGCGCGAATGCATGCGGGTATGCTGAAGAGCATAAGCATGAGCTTCATCAACAGCCTTTGCCACATTATTCAAAATGCGGTCATGAGGAAGGTTGGTGTACATTGTGGTGAAATCAACCATGCAAGGAGAGAGGCCACGTAGAGAGGACACATTGTTTTTCAGGTCAATCGCCACCTCATCGGCACTCTGGACGATCCAGCACCGTCGAACACCTTCCTGTTGATAGAGCTCAGTGTCTTTCTCACGAAGAGTAGAGATCAYGCCTTGCAAAGCAGTGCTGAGACAGRACRAAGTAGCCGTTGTGCTAGCCAAGGGTTTGTGAGGAGGYCGTTCATGAATGGTGCGAATAGAAGGACGAGAGCGAGTGCATGGGGGGACATGACAAGTATTTTGTGCTGTGACTCCAAGAATGCTGCGAAGAGCTGGAGGAGACTTGTGGGCTTTCATATATATATCGTCAAACAGAGCTGCTTGGTAAACCGTAGCCAGAGAGGGAGAAGACAACAAACGAGGGGCTGTGACAAACTGTTTCGTCGGAGTTTCACCGACTCATCAGGAGACTGTTTGTTGTCCTCTTCTCCATCTCTGCCTATGGTTTACTGGGCAGTTCTGTTTGATGATATACATACATAATAATAACAATACAACATTAGCAGTAAAGCAATAATCAGAAAACGTACAGAGGCACATGAAAATAGCCATCAAACAGAAAATAAAAGTCTGCATAGAGTGTCTTGCAATATAACCTACCAGCATTCCTGCGGTCTCTGAAAGCTCAACAAGGAAAGTGCTCTGCCCAGACATTATATGATCCCTGGCACCCATCCGGACGAAGATCCTGTCCGTTGGCGAGAGACCAAACTCCACAGCCGGAACATCTGCACCAATCTGCAAGTCCATCAAGAATCACCATCTAGCTTGTCAGAACACACAAGGTGTGTGTATTCATTGACCTTCTGTTCTCATTTCTTGGCTTTGGAAAGCTTGGACCACTTTCCATCCCTCTGGTTGGTCTTTGTAGGGGTTATCCCTTCGTCCCTTCCATCCTGCGCCTGGGGTTAGGTCCGACCCTAGTGGAACATTCAGACATCTAGGTGAGTTCTCCTTGCAGATATGGGCGGGTAGGTAGTGAGAGGTATAATGGATAGAGGAATATAGACTCGTAGTGTAGTTGTAAAAAAAAGAAAAAAAAAAAGAAAAGCATGTCGTTTAGTTGCAGTACAGCACAATGTTTGGCCAACAGTCAAACTCAAAATGCATTCAAGATCAAAATTGAAACGATACAAAGAGAATCACTTGAACAACCCAATGGCCGATTACTGTGGGTGACTGTCATCTGTCTAGCATCCCACCTCCACAACAACCTGGGCTTTGGGGAAAAACAAAAAACAAAAAAAACGGGTAAGGAATCTAAGGATGCCCCCTGAGTCCTGACCAAGGATGACATACAGAAGTCGAGAAATCGTCCAATGTTTCACATAAACAGCGAAAGCAAAGAAAGAAAGAACCAAACAAAAAAGAACAGAAAGTTTAAAAAGTTAAAAACATATAATATATCAATAATATATTAATATTCCTTTGTGCACTCGGTGGGCTGAATAGGCAGCAAAACAGATCCAGATGCCTGGACCACCTCCTCACCCAGTTCTAGACCTGGATTGGTCCAGTGTACAGGTCTAATGTAGCCGTGACTCGTTCAAAACATTTGAATTTTCCAAAGCGTCCTCATTTCAGGATGTTATTTTCAAATGAAACAGACTTAGGAAAGAGCAAAAACGAAAAAACAAAAAAGAAAAGGAAAGACCAAAAACGAAGCAGCCAACTTCTATGATTCGGACAAGACTTATGCTCCCCCAAATCGACAGGAGCCGTATTATGCCATAGCCATAAGAATATGGTTATTAAAAGTTACAACTTAAAATAATAGTAAACAGAAAACGAAAAAAAAAAAAAAAAAAAAAAAGACAAATGAACTACCTCAAATAAGTTCCGAAGCTTCAAATCACTCTTCATCACTTCGGACCATGAATGTGATAATCCCATAATTAGTAGTTACTAATTACTAATTACTAATTAATATTAATTATTACTTAATTAATTAATCTCACCCATAATAATTCCCACCCCTTCTTTCTCACCTGTGCCATAATCACCGCTAGGCATACTTGTCGTAAGAGCGTGGATTTGCCACCCATGTTAGGGCCAGTCAGCAGCATGAAGGGGGCTTGCCCTGGGCCTCCAAGCATTGTGTCATTGGGAACGAAGGGTGTGCTTCTCACTGCTTGGCTTCCTGACAGGCTTGGGTGCCGAAGCTCCTTTGCGTAAAGCCAAGGTCCTTTCGCCGAATCACCCTCTTCGTCAGCTGTGCTTGCAGTTGTATTCCATGTTGCTAGTTGTTGACGTTCAAAGACGGGCCGGCACAAGGTTCCCTCTACATAAATGTTCAGCGACGCTAAGCTGCACAGTGCATCCAATTCTTTCACAAAGATAGCACATCACACAATCCAGGAATTATATAATTTGAAATTGAACATCGAAGAACGACATGATGCAAGCTGCAAACACCAAGCACGTGTACCACAACCAGCAAAGTGGAATAACACTTTCAAGGCAGACATGAGCAACAGACAGTCAAGTCAGGCTGACGTATGTACCAAATGTGCCTGAAAGAGAACTAGAAAAAGAAGAACAAGAAGAAACACTTACAGATAACCCAACCCTTTACACTTAAAAAAAAAAAAAAAAAAAAAAAAAAAAAAAAAAAAAAAGAGGTTAAAAAGTCTAAAAAAAGATCCTTTACCCTCCACCCATCCTCACCCTTACCCAAGAAACCCCACAAAACGAACAGGGGATGAAAAGAAAAGAAAAAAAAAAGAAACAAGAACCTTAACCCAGAAAACAAACAAAGTTGGAGAGCTCGCAGTAAAACAAACACAATTACTTTGAAGTCCAAACCCAGTGAAGGCAATGTTGGCAAAAGCCAAAAGACAAGTTTTTTACCTGCAGCATACCTCCCACTCACATGACATCTCGATCCATTCGCATACACAGATAGAAGAAATCGACAAATACGAAAATCAGAAGAGCACAGACAACACAGTTGGAAGGAGTCAGCTTCACTTCGTTCTTTCTCTTTTTTTTTTTTTTTTTGCTTTTCTCCCCACATCCGGAAAAATACCAAGTCACCATCACCAAGCGGTGTCCTGAGCTTCTGGGTCTCTCTCTCTCTCATTGCCCCTACTCACAAAACCACCTCCAATATCAGTGTCGGTGTCGGACACTCACCTCCAAGTTTCGGTGTCGGACACTCACATCCCCACAAATCTCTGTGACTGCCCTCCTCCCGCGGCAGATTTCATTTGTCACAAGCTGTCAACAAAAAGATTAGGGGCCTTGCTCTGCTACTCGGCATTCTATATGTATCTTGACCATCTTCTGTACGTTGACATTTTGAATGTATCGGGACCACTGCTGGTGCAGATACATTTAGAATGTTGAGCAGTGGAGTCAGGTTCTAGGTTTGTATAAATAGTCTTTCAGGTCTACCACTTTGTCCCAAAACTTCGCTCATTTCACCAATGCCTCTGCTAGAATGTACTTCCACGGTTCCACCTGCAATCGGTCCAGGCGAATGTATGATTTTCACCACGGGCCCATGGGGGAAATTGTGACACAGAAAAGACATTAAAAACGGGTAAAACTTAAAAGAGATCTTTGGACTTTCTCTGAAGAGATCTGAGTTTTTTAAAACTTTTTTTTAATATCATTTTTCGGAACTTGCTCCTGAATTGCAAATTCAGTCACAAATTTTTAGTTGGCACTCCCTCAGCAAAAGAGTTGAGATTTTTTTTGTCCCAGGAGTTACTAATTTTTCTTTTCTTTCCACAGGAGTTACTGAAGACGTTGCAGAGACCTGTTCGGGACCGGCCACCTGGTTGGGCATCTGGCGAACCAGATGTAACCTGAGCACCAGCGCAGTTTTTTTTTTACTGTTTCAATTTGGTTATTTCAATTTGGTTACCTTCCGTGTTTTCAACTGCACCAACTCGTTTCAGACTTGCTAATCGCACTCTATGGTACTCATTTCTTTTTTTCTACATTTTCATTCTCTTATTCCCCTTCCTTAGACTTTCTAATGTTTCGAGCTACCTATTGCAGCTCCACTTCATCTTGCGTTTACAACTTTACAGCCTTGCACCCATAATGTTGAGCCTCATGTTTGGCATCATGATGGTTGGCACCATGGTCACTCTCTTCCCTTCCTACATCACCCCCATCTTCTTAGTACCCTCGGTTGTCATCATCATATTTCTTGTCACACAGCTCACGATCATAACACTGTTTCTCGTCACACAGCTTACGACCATCACACTGTTTCTCGTCACACAGCTCATGATCTTATCACTGTTTCTCGTCACAGCTTATGACCGCCACACAAAGTCTTCATGATTTTTCTCATCAAGCTTCGCGTAACACTATTTCAGTGTTGTCACTATCCCTCTCCTCTCCCTCCCCATCTGACACCTCTTACTGCACCCCTCTTCTCTTCCTCCACCACCAATCTATTGCCTATACTCCTCATTCCCCTCCCCACATCCCCCTCCCCCCCAAAAAAAAGAAAAAAAGAAAACACTGACTATGAGCTGCAGCTGAAGAGTGCAGCATGGGTGAGTGGGAGAGGGAAGAACGGTCCGCTCACAGAACTGTCTAACCAAAATGGACCGCGTACGATGTTCAATCCCATGTCTGCTGGTGGCTGAATGCTGCACTCATTTAACTGTTGACAAACACATCACGAGTACAAATCATGTCGGATGCATGAGGATAAGGGCTATCCCCCATCAACAAAGAGGGCTATCAAATCTAGACGTAATCAGATTGAGAGGGTAGCCGTTATCGCATTTCCAGAGGAACACGAGCCCCGCATCCACCTGACAAGCTCGACATCCCTGGTGCAGGTTGCCAGTGACAGTGCACAGGCAGCCATTGAGCTCTTACCTGCAATAGCTGCCACAGCCTTCACCCATTTGCTGGTGTCAGAGCAGAAGCTCTGCAGTAGCCCCCGCAGTATTCCATTTAATGCAGCTTCCCTCTCCTCTGCAGCCGCTGCATGTTCCTGCAGTAGCTCTCGTATCGCCGGCGTCCAGTACCGCCGATAACCCTGAAGGGGGGAAAAATGTGGGTCAAGATTTGCACAAACATGCAAAATTGTCAGCAGGAGTCATCCAGGTGACGGAAAGGCAAAGCACAGGTGGGTGAACGACAAGGTGTAAGGCCCAGAGTTCGAACTTCGATCGCTTAATATATGGAGTAGAGCTCGAGTCCAAAAGAATAGGAGCAAGCCTCAGCAGTACGAAGCATCTATAGACACCCCCGTGCCGGCATCCAGCTACCAGACACCCACATACCTGATTGCACTAGATAAACATTATCCGGAAAAAAAACTGTGACTGCCATGGGGGCAAGCAAATGGGATTTGGCCCATTTGGGGGACTGACTGCCATTTGAAGTTTGGCTAGTGCAATAAATACTTGTTATGGGGACCAAAATTCAAGGAAACAATAACGCATTTTTTTCTTTTTCTTTTTTTCCCCCTGTCCCAACGTTGTGGAAGCGTATTGCCGACTTTCTCCTCTACTTTAAAGAAAAAAAAGGAAAAAAAAAACTTTAAAAAAGTTTAAAAAACTGGACCATTCGGTCCATTCCTCGATTTAGGTGTGTTATCCTTGTGCAGGGCCCATGCTTTTTGCTTTTTTTTTTTTTATAATTTGGGCCATTTCTCGATTGATGCGTGTCATCCTTGAAAGCGCAGGGACCATGCTAATCTTCTCTCTCTGTACCGTTCCGATTTTAACAGATGTCCCGAAGGACACGCAGGGCCCATGGTATAATCTTCTCACTCGGATTGTCAATCGCCTTTTGGATCATATCAGGTCCTCTTGTCCAGATGGAGTGAAATCACAAAGTTCTCCTCGCTCTCTCTCGACCTTGACATCTGCTTGGAAAAACATTGGATGGATGACATAGCGGGAGTGACTTTCTGCTGATCACATTTGCAGTCCGCCTTCCTTCACAGGTGACACGTGGAGTGGCTTTTAGGTATATTGAATTTGCAGTCTCTTTCTCTCTTTCTTTCATTCATGTTGTGACTGATTGTGACGGAGCATGTGGGTCAGTAAAAGGACGCACTCTTATTCATCAGCATTCAGCAGGTCATGCCAGGCTGTGTGTATTGTCTCTTTGCATGCAGGATCCCTGACATCGTTAGACAAGTCAGAAAGCAACTACCGTAAGAAAGAGCAGGCAGAGATAACATTACGTCTTCACACGCACTGATAGTAAAACAACAGGCCCATAAATCATTATGTGCCATGAAGGACCAGCACAACTCAGCAACAGTCACTTACCTTCTTTTGCGAACGGACTTCGTATTCATTTGGCACTTTGGAGTGAAGCCTCTCTGGGATCTCCATCTGGTATGGCTCTTTTCCGACTGTGACATAGCACATCTGCATAGAAGAGAGACCCAACCAAGCAATTTAATTTCAGTAGAAACTTGTTTGCTTCCGCTTCTCCAAGTTAGAGAGAACAGAAGAACTAACATCAGTAGCCATTTGACAAATCGAACCAATGTAGGAGGACGAACTCAGGGGGCCTTCGTCCCAAGCGTTTTCAGATTTTCACAAACTTCTTAGGCATGCACTATCACCAGGGCCCAAAATATCAGCTGTCAAAAAAAGCACTCAGGTCGAATTCAGAAAAAAAAGTGTCCGGCGTGCTTTCTTTTACCTGTTTGTCCTGTTCGTTTCCAGCTTTTCACATAGGAAACCCCAGACAATCGCCAAATGACAGTTCCCACAGAGGGCAAGGCGGCAAAAGCTGGCCAGCAAATTTAACTGTTCACCCCTATTTGTGGATAAGCACGGGCAACCAGAACTTCAACACCTACATTCTCAGCACTACGTTGTCAGCACAGAGTTCTAATCATCTCTCGGTTCCACTTCTCACTCAGTCTTCTGTTTCCACGTTTCCACTCCGCACATTTCTATGTTTCAGAGTGCGATTCAGCAGCTTTCCAGCGTGCATTGCACCCCTGCATTAACATTTTGTGAACCACCAAACCCCTCCCAGGGATGGCAGATGACCACCAACAGACACACCTGACTGAGTCCACCATGCAGCCTGCAAGGGTTTTGCAGGGACAGAGATTTGCTCTGCTGTAGGGCAGCACACAGTCTATCGTCCAGCATACATCTAACTTTTTTACTTTTTTTTTTTCTTCTAACTTTCATAAAAGACGCACACAGGATAATGCAACTTCCAACGGACACTATGCACTGAAAAGCAGACGACTCCTCTGATACGCCACTTCTGACACCCAAAAAAAAAAAAAAAAAAGGCAGAAGAACTGTAAGGATGTATACCCTTTTCGGCCTTTTGGCTAAGATCGAATGTAGTATCGGTTCTGCTCAGTTTAATATCTGAAAGAGGAGGGGGAAAAAGAAAAACAAAAAAACACTGAAGAATGTGTTCTCATTCCTCAGCTTTAAGCATGATTTTAATCTTTTCCCACTTACTTTTTTTAATTAAAAAGGGTGTCGGGCTTGAGATATCAACATGCAATGGACTGGCCACAGGTAATTCAGAATTACTTGATTTCATTCACCTAGTTCCATATGGATTCCAACTCAGGTCTGTATGTCAACAGTTCATGGGTGTACCAACTGAGCTAGGCCCGTTGATCTTTTTCCTGTGTTTACCTCTGCACAGCCCCCAAGCTTTCTCCTCTGCCGTTCCAAGTATTCATCAAGCCTGCTTTCTACCTCCTCCACAGATTGAGAGGCTTTGTCATAGTCTCTATCAACCCCCTTACGTGGTATGATCCGTCCGCTTGACTCTGCTGCAGCCCAATCAAATGCCCTCTCAAACTCGTTCACTGTGTCCCTCACATCGGGAAACCCCATACCTGCACCACATACAAGACTTTGGATATCAGAACCGAACAGAACATTGAAAACAGTAGTTTTAAAATACATCCGTTAAAATTGGAACAATACAGAGAAGATTAGCACAGGAAATGGGCCAAAATAAACACATAAAAAAAAAGAAGCTGAAAGTCTGGTAAACAAGCTTCTCTGGCAAAACACAACCGCAAATTCCAAACTGTAAGAAAACTGTTCGACACAGTTCTCATTCAGCAACCGATTCCAGCAACAGAGCATGCAAAAGGCCGGAGCCATTGATGATTATTGTCAGCTATAAGCAGGGATGCCACACTGCCTGCAGAAAACTCCTTGGAAGCGTTGTGGTGAGCATCATCCCTATTTTCACTCCAAAATCAGAAGATCTGCACGATACCAAAAGAGCAACACAAGGGGAGAGAGACAGATGAAGAGGGGGAAGTATGGAGATAGGGCAACAAATGGAGTTATTTTCTGAGTACGGAACCGGGCCGCCCGGCCAACCAGCGCCTGCCCGGGGGAGGTCCCGGGCGGCCTGGCCGGGCGGGCGGCCCGGTTGGGGGCCGGGCACCCCCAGCACACCTTGTCGAGGGGGGGGTTCAGACCCCGAATCGCCATGTTCTGGCGTCCCCAGGGCCTACCAGGTCCGACCAGGCCCAAAAAACGGCGCGTCGGGCCCGTGAGGCCAGCGAAGTTCGTGGTTCAGCCGCCCGTCGTCGTGGAGCCGCCCGTTGTCAC